ATTATCATTATTATTATTATTATTATTATTATTATTATCATTAACTTTAAATTTCCTTCTATATGAAATTATAAAATAACTCAGCTACTATGTGTGCTCTTATTGGTCAATAGGTGTGTTTAGATGAGAGTATGTAACCCACTAATCCGCCTGTTCTGCAGGCTAATGTAAACATGGTTGTGATGTTTTAGATTTACCATATTTTTTAGAATTATTTTAGGAGAGCAATAGTCGAGCAATCTTTCATGTTTACATAGCCCTATCTAAACACTCAGGGGGTTGGGGGAATTCTCGAAAGTTATGCAAACCCTCAACTACATTTCAGGTTTGCATAACTGTCTCTAATTCTCCCAACCCTCCTCATGTTTCAGGGTCCGAAATTGTGACTGACTGGTCGTCAATGCAACCAAAAATTAAGTGTTGGCAACCAGAATTTTAAAACTGGTCGCCAGCAGGTGACTAACCTTTTGTCCCCTCAGCATTTGAAATTCAAAGGTGAAAGCAGGGCTCGAAAAAAAACCCGTCCAGTCATCCGGGACAAGTAGATTTTCCCTTCGGGCAAGTAACTTTCTCTCCTTACTTGCCCCATGGGCAAGGACTCAGGCAAGCCGTTCGCTGACTAAATTTTTTATAACGATTTTGAGAAGAAAAGGTAAATTTTCGGTTCAAGGGTAATCAAGTGTTTAGATGATGCTTGACGAAAATTACAATTTATAGCGTTGTTTTGTTGATTGCGTGATGTGCACTCACGGCTCACAAGTGGTTACCTAGCACGTGATCAAAATCTGCCCTGATCAAATTTCTTTCCAGGATTAAAAACAGCCGCGTTGGGCACGAAAATGCTGTGTTTATTTCTTAAAATTTTAGCAATTTTCTGGGAGCATTTTCCAGTTTCTCTGTACAAAACTTAACTCAACAATGATATATTAAAGCTGTAGAAATTGTATGCGAAAAGAAGCCGCATATCGCTACCGCGAAAACGAAGCCAGCAATTTTGATGCTAAAATCCAGGTAAATCTCTGTTTTTGGCGTAACATAAAAGTAATGAAATGAAAAGTATTATATTATTAAAAAGAAATGGATAAGTAAGTCATCAAAATATTTTCAGAGTTCCTGGAAGATGACTTAAAATAGTGTTTATTTCAAACGAAGACGTTTTCCTTCGACTGAAACTAGTTTTCATTCATCCAAATGAAAAATTATGCTCTTGCTGGCTTTTCAAATTCGACACTGTGCCTGTGTCAAAACTGAAGTGGGAAGGCGACTTGTTGTTAATCCTGCGTGTTATAAATGTCTCGCGTTTCTCTTCACAATGATTTCGTGGAACTAGACAAGATGCAGGTGAACATTCAAGGAGTTGAACACGATCTTCAACGAATTAGTAGTGATTACGAATATACCCAGCGTGTAATACAGGAAGATACGCAGTGTGTAATACAGGAACTAGGAAGTACGTACATGAACAAACTACTACAGCTTCGCAAACTTTGTTTCTTTAACTGGGAGGCACTGGCAAAAGATGCTGTGGGACAAAATTTAATTCCTGATGGCATTTTTTTTTGTCACGTTCGAAAATTCCAGGGAAAGTTGAATTTGACGCCATAAAAGCGGAATGAAGAAGTTAAAAGTTGTGGAAGCACTGCAATATAATGGCGTAAACATGAAAGTGATCAGCCACTAAGAGGACTACAGTCAAGATGGGTTTATTGCATTAAAACACGCCTGTAGTTTGTCAATTTTGGGGTTCATGAATTATTAATGAGTTTGAAAACTTGGGCAAGCAGGGAGGTACCCTGGGCAAGCAAAATTTGGGAGTTACTTGCCCAACAGGCAAGGTGGAATTCAAATATTTTTTGAGCCCTGAAAAGGGCTTTTTTTTAAAAGAAAATATAAAGCTCCTGTGGACAATTGTAGTAAAAGAAAGCCACGATTTTACGATCGCCATATTTACCCTGTGCCATATTGTTTCAGCAGCTTCTTCCAATACGGATATCGCGGGCAAAAATGTGACATGGCGAAATCAGGACAAGATCAAAAGTGTCCGCGGAAACATGTGCGCTTAATCTTTAATTCTTTACCTAAATACCAGTAAATTCCAGTTCTGAAATACGAGTTGTGTTGTTTTACTGCATACTACCTGTGTGACTTAGGTGGGGGACTGGTTAGAGCAATAAAAAAGTGTGAGGACCTGGCACTAGCACATTGATTGTCGTTGCGTTTTTGTTCCGTTTCAGTGAAGAACAGACAATTTAATTGCACGCACACTTAGTTGATTCTAGGTATAGAAAGAGGGCCCCCATATGTCTTATACACAGAACTTAACAGGATACCAGCATAGTTCCAACTAAATGGAAATAATAAGAGAAAGAAATCCGAAGCCTTCGCAAGAATGTTGACAAATACGCTCATCGAGATGTAGGACTCTGTTACCGTTACACCGCTTTTGTGAGTCTCTCCTTTAATAGCTGTATGTATATTGCATTAAATGAAAACACTGTTGACAGGTTAAATTTTGTGCTGTACTATAAATTAAGGTAAATTATAACTATATATTGTTTTCTTCAGTTTGCAGCAAATTGAGCGGCGAAGACACGATCATGGCATGGCAAGCAAGAAACCACAAAAAAAAACAACTAACACTTGTCTTTGGCAACCAAACCCTTCCATCTGGCGACCAAAATTTTTAGGTCAGTCGCCAGTTGGCTCTGTTAGGAAAGGTTAATTTCGGATCCTGTGTTTAGATAACCCTTTACCCCCTAAGGCGAACAGCAGTTTTTCCCAAATCGGCAAATAAAGACAGTCTGGCTGTGTACAATGTGCCATTTGAAAACCACTAATCAGCTTATTTAAGAATTGACATCAGCAGCTATGAAGAAGGTAGACATTTTGAGAGAAATTGCTTTAAAATGGGAAAATGAATGACTCCAAAAATATATCAATCATCTACTATATTAGGTTTACCCCTAAACTATAGCTTATTTAGCAGCTCTTAGTGCATAGCTTGATATGAAACAAGTCTTGCATTCCATTTGCATCCTGAAAAAGGAACTAAAAACCTCTGGGGGTGATCAACCATGTCTTGGATGGGAGGGGGTCAAAATTTTATGACTTCAATGAGCAGATCTTCACAAGACAATTTTCATGGCAAGAATTCATAGAAACCTATCAAATATTCACAAAGTTATCACCTTGTGTGCCAATTTGCACTCTTAAGGGGTAAAGGGATAAGGCTAGTATGTAATCAAGGAAAAAGTGCTCTATTGCTTACTGACAAAAGTCTTATTGATAACACTGCCTTTACAATGATCTTCTGACAACCTAAAGGTGCACAATTCAAGATCTATCACTTTGCATATGTTTGATGAGGTTACAGGGTAGGGGGAACTTACTTGGAAGTATGTTTCTAGCCTCTAGTTCACTCTGACTTGGCCGAGCTCTCAGTTTTAGAGCCAAACTGTCTTTCCTCTTAAGCTTAGAGGCTAAACCTTTAAGACAAAAAAATTAAATGTAACCATATCATTAAATACCATAATTAATTATTTGGGTGACATCATTTTAGCACATAGGCTCAAGAGTGCATACAAGACATGAGAGAATGCTGCATTGCATTTATCCCAGATTGACCACGAAAATAAAAATTCCAAAGCAAATGCAGCAACAGTTTTTAGCACTTGACAATGTATCACTTAACTGACTGTTCATTAATGAATACCTGTTACAATTCCTTGTGTCTCCTCTTCCTCATCAGAATCAGAAATATTACTATCATGCCCATCATCTTCGTGAAGTATGCTTTTATCATCTAAATGCTCTTCTCTGCTAGTTTCTTTACCAGCACTTTGAACTACAAAAAATCTGAAAAACAACAAGCTTTGCTATCAAGTAGTGCATGTCAAGTAATTTCGTTTTATTATCATAAGTTATCAATATCTTCTTATTAACAGCTTTTGCCTGGAGCTGATATGAAAGTGGTTTCTCACACACTGCTGGGACCATGCCAAGCCGCACCACACAGCCTGACCTTTATTAACATAAGAACATAATTGTCTTACAATGACACAAAAAGTGGCTAGAGAATAACTTCACCTCAACTTAACACATTCTACAAGTACTTCATGGGTGGGTGGGTGGGGCATGGCAGATGGCAAAACAAAAACTGAAACCTTACACAAGCCACATGACCTGAAACCCCCCGCACACCTGTAAAAGGACTCCCAGCTGTGTGTGGGAAAAACGTTTTCCCCTTCTTTTGTTCCTCAGCCAACAGAAAACCACACTTTTGTTTTGATTGACAACTTTGCAAACAAGGCTTGAGATGTAATCTTATCTTGTGTTGCTTATTGAAAAATGCATATTTTTAACAATTTTGCTTTTAAGGTGGTTCAAAACAATTTCCATCACTTAGTTATAACCACTCTTTATCAGGTTGTTGCTACAATCATCTGATGGTTTCGAAAAATTGACCAGTCATCAGTTAACATATTGTTATCATTTGCATGACACAGTAGGTAACCATAACAACAGTATGATCTGCTAAAAATACCCTAAATTTTAGCTTTAAGTACTTACATGTATAATTCAAAAAGACAGTGAGATTTTATCAGATTTTGATTGGCAGGGTAAGCCGCAATGGTTGGCAAAGTTTTAAAAAAATCAGTAAATGGGATTCAAAGCCACCTTAATTTTTTTATTTATGCATAGTAACTATCCTTTTTTTTGTTTTTCAAACATTATTTTAATTTCAAAATAATTTGTAGTTCACAAAGTTTTTTTTTTTTTTGGAGGGGGGATAGGGGGAGCCAGCAGTATTATTTATACACTGTGAATTGAGTCAGTTTGTCTTGTTCTTGAAAAATTTCATTTTCTGTCTGCAATAGTATGGGTGAAACACTTAGGATGCAACAGGTAAACATTTTTGATGGGCAACAAATGAGTGATCAGGATGATCAAATTCCCAGGAATGGTTGCTCAGCATTTGAATTGAAATAGGGACAATGGGGATTGGTTTTTCAATTCCACTACTGTTTAAGATGTTAATAGTTAAAACAACACCTTGGTTGTTGGCCACTTGTACTGCAATGTCTATTGTTTTGAGTTTTGAGGACTGTCCGTTCATCTGATGAGCTGCCAGTATTCCGACGTGCTGTTATCAAAGAAACAGAAAATCAATCAACCTTCTTGAACCTTCTTCTTGGTTGGCTCCAAGTAGGATATCTTAAGTTACCACTGTGGGAAATTCCAAAAGTACCAGAACAACTGATAGTCTCACTTACAGTCAAATAAGATGTTCTTGTTGTGGGGCAATGTCTCAGTATTGAGTAGCAAACAACACCAATGTGGTGTCAAAAGAAAAGAATAACATTTCTCCTATGGTCCACTGTTTCTTAACAGACTACAAGAAATTAGTGACAGGTTCAGTCCAAATTGTCAAACTCGTAACAATACTTGAAAACTGAAAATGTGAGCCACAAATAGTACAGCAAATTTGAAAATTTAGGCACAATTCCCAGCTAGGCGAGGTTACAGACTTAGGCTCAATTTCTGCCACTCACTCGAGTCCGGTCTAATTTCCTCCCCGAGAGGAGCATGTTCATGGAAGGAGTGCAGGCTCCTTTCTTGAACAGCGGCTTGTAATCGACCCTAAGGTTACAGTAGTTGAGAGAAAACAATTCAAAAGCTTATCATGGATAACCAACTGGTCCCAGGACTTAAACAACATCACCAACAACAGTAAACAAAGGCCAGCAGTGTCAGTACTATGATTCATACAGTGTGTCTCAAGGATATACTATCTCACCTAATTCCCGAGCTAGCTGATCCATCATACTCATTGTGTCTAATTGTTGAACCTGAAAATCATTTTTCGCTTCATTCTCAGTGGGTAAATTGTCTCGCTGTGAAAGCGGGGCTTGCTGGTTTCTCCTTGGTTGTCCTGGTGTTATGTGTTTCTCATCACTGTCATCTGAAACCCTTTTGTCATGTGAAGGGCCATTGCACTGGATGTCAGCTGAATCATTTTCATTTTCTTTATCTGAAGAACAATGTGTATTTGGTTAGCTACTACAAACTTAATAGGTTAACTGAGTTTACAGTCAACTAACAAGTGTACAGCCAGCTGTCGGGTGGTCTCTGGTGCCTGTCACATCCATGATTAAATGTTTCTTACTCAACACTGCATACACCATAAAACTTAATCAATGTACTTAGTATGTATATCACATTTCAGAGTTTGCGCTCAAACAGTCTCACTTTGGCACAAACAAAATTCAAGGAATTGTTCAAGTAAGTAAGCAAACTTCCTTTAACACAGTAGTCACTTCAGCAATGGCAGCTTTTCACGTAGCGAGGCCTAAAACTAGCCTATAGCTTAAGAAAATGTAAAATAATGGGAAAATAATATACAGTATAATTTAATAACAAAGACAGAGGCAAAATAGAAAGAAGAATACAGACATTATTATCGAATGGGATGCTTACAGATGCAAACAGGCTGGTGCCTTCATTTTGAGGGTTTCTTTTGAGATAGGGGTGTTTTAAGGTCATTCCCCAGTATTGCATTGCGCATCCCTACTGCGCATAATTTCACACGTGATTAGCGCACGCCCATTAAAAAATGGCGGCTTATCCTTTACAGCTGGACCTCACCACAGAAGTAAATCGTCATTTTCTTGCAAACAAGTATGGCAACCTATCATTTTTTCTGTTGCTTTGAATTGAGTGATAAATTTCTCTGTGTAAAATAAATATGGACCAATTCCCAGGGTAGAACAAAAAACAATCATTGGAAACATGAATTTAGCAAGCAATTGTGACTACAATCATGGCACTATTATATTATATTATTTATTTCCTTTTTATTTATTTTATTTTTAGTATCTATAACATAAACAATCAATAGGCAAAGTTTCACAAAAATCTCAGTGCAGCTTCTATTTCAGTGGAATGACCTTAAGAAGATGCAAGGACTAGCACTTGGGGAACCTAAATACCTGACATGGCTGCCCAACTTTTTTCCTTAAGATAGCATAGTGGAGGGAAGACACAATTTATGATCAAGAGAGTGTAGGGAATGACAGTCAAATACCCTGAAGAAATCACTTCTCTTTTGTAATCTTCAAACATAGTCTCTTCAAGAGAACATGATTTTTCTGTCAGTGACACAGGCATACTTGCAAAAAGAAAAAGAAATCCAAGTACTTCAGCTAGAGGACAAACCTAAGCCCTGGTTACTAGTCCAGATATTCCAATCTGACCTACAAGAGACTTGTGAAAACCAAGACTAGTAAACTAGTTACGTTCACATTTCGTCAAGGTAGAAATATGAAATTATGTAGTAAAGTCTCATTACGTACTCATTGGATTATTAGTTGGGAAAAACTAATTATTCACCTTCAGTTGTGACAGGAAGAATTCCTTTTTTTATCAACTCATCTCTGTTAGTTCGTACCGACAGTTGTCTCTCAAGATCTGTGTAGAAAACATACAGTAATTATTAATATTACAAATCAACACTGAAAATATTAATATCTATCTTAAAGTTAATCACAGTGCTGGATAGATCACAATGCATTAGACGGCTGGATGTACTTTACATACATTACATGGTCATAAACATATTGTCCAGGGGTAAAATCCGTTTTGTTATCTTTTTTTCCCTTTTTCAGGGAAGGTCACTTCGCATGCTTAGACCAATTTCACACGAGGAAACATTTTCCTGGGTTTTAATGTGTTATACCCAATTACTTGCACAAATATACTGGCTACCAAGTGAGGTTCAGAGAAAAAATGTGGAGGGAAAATTGAACCAAGCAAGCTTAGGAGCCCTTGCACAATTATACAGGGCCAATGCTTCAGACAAACTAGCTGAGCTGTTTTGTCATTTGACCTTCTCTACTCTCCAACAGGTGACTTCTATAAGAAGACTAATAAAGACTAAATTATATGTATAAAACATGCAAAATCGAAAATCTGTTACAAGTAGCTGCGTGAATCAAGCACACAAGTTTTAATCTTTAAAATCTGCAAATCCATGGAAATTATGCATTGAATCTGAAATCTGAATATACTTGTTCTTCAAGCAATCTCCAAATCCAGACAACTGCTGTTCACCCCTACCGCCAGCATGGTACCTCCACAGGTTAGCAAATAATGATACTATCAAATCTGCATGGTCAGCCATTACAAAAACAACAATCAAACAATAATTTAATGATGGCAGACAGGCAAAAACTACTATAGATGCATCTTTTAGAGGCACAAAGTTATTTGTATTTATCAGTCTTAAGACCAATATCCAGGAGTGACTGCCAATATTTTTTTCCGTATTTGTCAGCATACAATATAACTTGTTCACATACATGTAAGTTTTTAAGCTGGAAAGAATATAATCATTTGTAGGTTTTGCTCAGGGGATGAGGCATTTGAAGTTTTATTGTTACCCCAGAGCTTGACATTTGCATTTGCCTGGGACAACCCAAGAACATTTGTCACCCTTCTGGTTTTGGTATTGCATGTGGCAGAGAATCCAAACATGATGTTGCCCTCTTATTCATTTCATCCCCTGTTGATCATATATGGATCAAATGAAATTAACTCTCCATATAATATAAGGATTCTAAAGCTATCCAAGATGACCTACTTCATTTCGAAGTAAAGAAGCATACATCGTTAATACCTCAATGACATGTACATTGTTTTTAAGCATTGTAAAATTCTGAATTGTGCATATCAAAATAAAATATGACTGTATTTTACAAAAGAGTACACCAATACATATTAATACAAAATACATGAAGCATTGTCAAGAACCTTTTTACGAAAAGTTGTGACCAATGGAAGGATAAATGTACATGTAAAGAAAACAAGATGTGAAATAATGTTGGTGAACAACACCTTTTTATTTTACAAACACCAATGAAAAACCAAGTGAGTGTTGGGGCAAAAACATGATTAATAATAATGCACAATAATGAAACAAATATTATTACAAAAATATCTTCACATGTGAAAATAACATCTTTTCTTCGCAAGTGAAAAGATCATTGTGCTATGGTCATATAATAAATTGTGCCTTTCAGCATTTCATTGGTGTTTATGTAATAAATAAAACAAATTTATAATAGTAATAACAATAATAATAATTATACATTTATATAGCACTAAGACTGAAATATTCGAAAGCGCTTCAAATGGCAGCTTGGAGATACAAAATTTATCTTCACTTGTTGACTGCACTCACTCTTGAAATATTTTTCAACCCTTGAATAGAAATTTCATCTTTGTGCTCAGCCACGTAATATCCTTTATTTATTGATTTGGGGATTTTTTTGTACTGTTATTTTACAGATATTGGAGGTGCAGTGACCTCATGGCTAGTGTGCTGGCCTCTCAATTAAGCAGTCCAGTTTCACGCCCAGGCTGCGGGGAGGCGGGGGGCGGGGGGAGCATTGTAATGTTATTGCGCAAAACACTTTACTCTCACAGTGCCTCTCTCCACCCCGGTGTTCAAATGGGTACCAGCTAATTGAATGCTGGAGGTGACCTGTGATGAACCAGCATACCACCCAGGGGGGAGTAAAAATATCTCTAATAACTTCATGCTACTGAAACTGGAAAATAAGCACTGGCCGATGGGTAACCTGGTTCATATGCAGATTTCACCCTCTCACATGATTTTCCATATGAGCTTAGGGGCGGGACATAACCTCCTTTTTTGCCCCATCTAGCGATCTCCGGGCGCTTGATCATAACCCAATTATTTGTATCCACCCTGAGGAATTTGTTTGTTTTTTGAAGGAAATGCTGAGGCTGAAGGTCTGTAGGGGCACTACTGGAATTGACTTATGTCTTATTCTTTTCACCTACATGTATGACACACATTGAAATAGGCTCTGTTAATACGAGTTAACAGGACTGCCAGACAGAAATTAATCAATAAAAAGTGTCTTGATGTTTATTTGCAAAATTGTTGTGTTTTCCATTGAGAATTCGAGTCAACCTTTCCACGTACAAAGCAAACAAATGATCCTCTTGCTAGGCTTACTATTAGTTTGGACAGTACATAAAGTTCAATGAAACAGTGGGTTGTATCAAATCATACTGTTATTGATAACAGGATCACTTCAAATATTTCTGACAACCAGCGAACTTGGAATGAACACTAACGGTGAATTTACAGAATTCAAAATCTGCGATTGATTTTGTTTCGATAAAATTTAATCTGAAAGTGAAGAATTCATATATGAATTATTTCATGTAAACTTCACATCAAAATTTAATCTGTCCAAAATATTTTCAGGCTAAGAAGTAATTTGCCATGTAAATTTTTAACTTGAACTGACAAATCAATTAAATTATACTAGCACATATAGTAATTAGAGTACTTGTACGTCCATCCAAGCAAAGTTCGCTCAGTTAACCGCTACATGAAAATTTGTATCATAACTTAGTGGGAAAATTGTCATTAATAGGGTTACATTCTTTGCTTTCGCTTTACTATAGCTATGAACCTCCGTATTTTCAAGTACGTTTATCTTTCGGCAATTCGTGATCATGATGTAACAGGCGTATTAATGACGGACCTGACGGATAAGTCTGAAATTCAAGCTTGTCTTTGTGTAAACGGAACTAAATAATTTTTTCGTCTTCTGGAAAAGTTTTTTAACCGTGGTAGTGTGTGCCACACAAAAATATTTGCCTAGAACGACAGAAAGAAATCACCTTGCGTTGCCGACAGTCGAAGGTAAGCGTATATATATCGAACGGATGGAAAGTAAACCTGTGCTTCCATTTGCACTCCTTCATTGCAACTGTTATGTGTCAGTAGAAAGAGAACAATCAAGTACTACACAAGTCAATTCAGGTTGAAGTGGAGGGCGTATTAGCAAAAAAGGACAAGATATTAAGTCTCACGATCTCAGCGGAATAAACTCTAACCTTCAGCAAATCTGTCAAAAGATTACAGTACCAAACTATCAAGAATTTCTTACTTTGTGAAGTCGTGATGAACTTCTGGCTCTTCTTTCTTCTTCGCCATTTCCACGGTCGAAATAATCTCCCTATGCTTATAGCTAGTTTGCTTCGCCGAACGGGAGGAGGTGTACTTGGACTTGAGTTAGCGCCAGCGACAGGAGTAGAATCGCAAACTTCCGTAGCGTTCAAAAACGTTGGCGCTCGCCTTGTAGGGACAGTGTTGCCTCCATTCATAACAATGTTTTTTTCTCTGCGGCCTGGGTCACTGTTTGAACGCTCTCGTGAAAGATCAAGGTTCCCAGAAGGAGAAATTCTACCATCGTCTGCTACCTCCATATTTTCAAGTTATCACCGACCGACTCATTTTGGCTGTGGTATTGATTTGGTCCCCAGGCCTACCGGGGGGAAATTTTGGACTGCAACGCCTAGTGCATTTTGGTACTTCCGCTGAAATGCATTTCCGGTTACAAAAATAGGCCCTCCCTAAATCCTGTTGCAATTTATAGTAGCCAACTGTATTTCCGCAATTTAGTGCCAGCTCCAGAAAATGCATAACATGACCATAAAGGGGTAACCTAACCCATAATAATGGCCAATTGTTCGTGAATAAAAGTGTGAACTGATAAGCAACCATGATGATGATCCCTGGATTCACTCCAGTCCGTTTTGCTTTTGTTAATGTTGGGATTTACTCCAATTTTAAAATCCCTTTTTCCAAAAAGTAAGTAAAATAGAAGTGGAATAACAACAAACAGGTCGCAATACTCAAACATCAAAAACGAAAAATCTGAATGGTTTATTGACATAATTGGAGGTCAAGAGCCGGTTAAAATTGATTATTTGAAGGTGGGTCGTCCGTGACGTAGCCCCAGAAAACGCCCCACTAAGATATCAACCCCGGGGTATCAACTACGGGCACAAGGTCAGTACCGTAAATCCTCGAATTAGCGCCCGGGGCGCTTATTTTAAATTTAGAAGAGGACGCGGGCGCCTTTTCGAGGGAGGCGCTTAATCGAGGGGCGCTTATTTACATGTAATTTTTCCCAAATCGTGGCAGGTGTGATCGGGTTTTTTGTAATATATGTATGTGTCAGACTCTCAAAAGGATCCTGTTTCTCTTGAAAAACTACGTAATATAACCCCATTAGCCGGTCTAGGTCTGCTGCACAAGGGCCACGAGTTTATCAGTTTTATTACTGTCAAGTGTTACCCTCCTTAAATGTAAGTAAGTAGGTAAGTAAGTAAGTAAGTAAGTAAGTAAGACTTTATTTTACGAGGGTAACATTTGTCAGTAATAAAACTGATAACCTAATGGCCCTCAAAAATTAAAATTTGAAAAGAAAGAAATAGTAACAATCGTAACAATATTAAAAATAATTAAAATAAAATAATTAAGCCTATATACATCGTGAAAATATTTATAAAATGTGATTATTTACAAATTTTTAAAAAATTTACAGGAATAATTTGCTAAGAATTTGATTATCTAAAATTATTTTAAAAAGGGAGCGCTTAAAATTTTTTACACTGGTATTCTGTTTGATGTCCACACTTAATTTGTTCCATTCTTTTGTGGCTCGCACAGCAAACGCTCCACCCCCTTCAGTATTGCTCTTAAATCGCGGGCAAATTAAGTCCTGATGTGAAGTTTATATGAAATAATTCATATATGAACTGCGGTTGTAGATGAAAGTGAAGAATGAT